TTCCCCCGAGCACCGCCAGGAGTGACCAGGAACAACGGTCACAAGCTGGCAGAGGGGAGATTCAGGCTAGACATCAGGAGACGCGACTTCACGGTCAGGGCGGCTAGGGTCTGGAACCAACTTCCAAGAGAAGTGGTGCTGGCTCCTGCCCTGGGGGGCTTTAGGAGGAGGCTAGATGAACACCTTGCTGCGGTAGTTTGACCCCAGTACTCTTTCCTGCCATGGCAGGGGGTCAGACTCGATGATCTGCTCGGGTCCCTTCCGACCCTACTAACTATGAAACTATGAAACTATGAATATAGGGAGGCATTTGATTACCAAACATTTGATCTGAATCACTTGCTTCTGCCAGGCAGAAGTGCTCTGTTGCTTTTAACATGCCAGGTTAATATGGGCATTTTTTTTGTGCTGGCTCAGACGAGGAGGCCTGAAAACTGGTTTCTTTTCTAACAGCCAAGTCTTGCAGTGCCACTCAGCACTCCTGCTGAAACTAATGGGAATTTCCCCCCGGTGAGGAGCCAAGGCTCTCCTCTTGCATTTCCTGAAAGCACCGCTCACCGCTCCCAGGATGTGAACGTACATCAGAATAAGTGAAAATCAGAGACCTGGCAAATCTCACTTACCTCCCCACATACCACCTTCTGCAGGGAAACCACAGGGTCAGGTGTTTTGCTCTGTGCCCTGTAGGATAAACCCTGCCTTTGTCACATCAGTGAGAAGCAGATTCCCCTGCCCTGCTATTAATCATGCTTTAGGGGCAATGCTGTCTGGTGCTTAGAGTAAAGGAGTGGCATTCAGACTCCCATAAAGTCACGGAGAAGTTGGGCTGGAAGGGACCTCCAGAAGTCATCTAGTCCAACCCTTGGCCCTCGGCTGGATCATCCTATGCAAACCACCCTGTACAAATCCATAATCCAGATCCATGCCCCATTCTGCCACTTCTCACTTCCGCGATGCAGTCTGTTTGTCTGGACAGCAGGTGAGACGCCAGGCTGCTTTGCAGGGCTGTCCTGGATGGAACTGGAATTAGATGTAGCTATAGCAGGGCTGCCTACCCGGTGGCTTGCAGGCCACATGCGGCCGAGGAGGGGTTGATGTGCAGCTTCCAGGCTCCCGACTGGCCACTGCTCTCCCACATCTGTGGCTGCTATTGCAGGACTTCCCTCCCTCTGCTAATTCCTGCCCTTGTCCCAGGGGGTGGGACAGTGCAGAAAGCTGTGGGTGAGTCTGGGGTATGATGCAGCAGGATGAGGAGTGGGGAAGAGGAAGGTCACAGGCACATGGTGCAACGCAGGGGAGTTGTGGGCAAATGGTGCAGCGGCAGGGGGCATCCATGGGATGCATAGCCTGGGGGAGACTATGGCTCATCACAGCAGCATGAAAGTTGGACAGCCCTGAGCCAAAGCACTGGGACCTGCAGATTGAAAAGGGCGGCATGGGTGTTTCCCAGTTGTCATGTATTTCAGATGTTCCCAACCCCCAGGACTGGGCCGTGAAGGGTTGGCTGCTGGACCGGAAGTCCAGAAGTGACCGGTATACTGTGGACTGGCAGCCAACCCTTTTTTATACTTAGTATACACACAGACATTTTATACAGAGTATAAAAAAGGGTTGGCTGCCAGTCCATGGTATGCCGGTCACTTCCGGACTGCAGTTTGTCAGTCTGCAGTTTGCTGGTCTGCGGTCACTTCCAGGCCACGGTCTAAAAAGGTTGGGAACCACTGATATATATCTTCCCCATCAGCGTGAGCAATGTCCTAGCACTCCTGCTCTTAGATCTCGTGTGTCACGATTCTGTGACAGGAACAAACAACCACTGCGGATCAGGCTGTGAAAGCCAAGGGAACCCACTAGCCGTGGAGCTCTTTGAACGGCAGCTTGTACTTGGTCACTGATTTTTCAAGCACTTTCCCACCGAGCTGATTGAAGCGTTCCTCCTGAGACCAGATGCCATCAGGGACTCCGGCAGCTCCTGGGCTGTGGTGCCACCAAGCTCTCAGCAGACTTTTAACCATCCAGCAGGGGTCCTTTATAAATGCAATTTGACTCACCACTGTTCCCAGCTGGCTGTCAAAAACCACCTACCTTGGCAGCCAGAAGCACCTGAATTTGGAGCATCTCAGTGAAAAATGATTTTCTTGCCTGTGGACTTCCATATGGAAATCTGGGCCAGGGGCCTTTCCTGGTCGTGCACAAATAGCAGAAGACAAAGAACCCCCTCACCTCCATGGCACTCTCAGCGGCTCTTCTCTGTAGGCTGACATGGAGTCGTGAGGAAGGACAACTGGAAAAGCACCATTAAAAGTGTTATGAGAGCCTCTGATTTGGTTAAACAAGGAGGGGGAAAATAATTCTAAGCAATCCTAGAGTTGTCAATGTAAGATTAAGGCAGGTTCTTAGTGTTGGGGATGAAATCGAATTTTTAGCAGACTTCAGCCACAAGCCCTGGCTCTGGCCTCCCAGGCACTGTCTCTCTCCATGCCGGGCAATGGGACCAACCGCCGGGCCCAATACCCCAGGCACCAATGCTGACCTCCCTCCAGAAGTTGTATTGCATTTACCTGGGGTCCTTTGGACCTTCTGGTTGCTGAAAATTGGGCCCATTCTTTGCCAGCCTGTGTCTCTTCGCTCAGGCAGAGCAGGCGGTGCAGCTGTGCTTAGCACAGTCAGCACTGACTTTTCTCTGATAAGAGCAGCCGTGAGCTTGGCTTCTTGGTTAGCGCATCTGGGCTTGAGAGCGTTTGCACTGGAGACCATTGGGCTCAAAGCAGCCATGTCGTTCCCCACAGGGACTGTGCCCCAGCCACCCAGGGGAATGCTAGGCCCTTCTCTGTTGTCCATGACAAGGCAGGTCACTGGAGGGTGACAGGGCTTCATCCTTTTGCCCACTAGAGGTGCATCATCCCTCGCTTAACGGGCATGTGCCCTGGTAGCCCTCCATGCCCAGAATGCCCCCTCCCCGCACAGCTGCCTGCAGTCTTGCAGCACATAACCCGTATCGGGAAGGTCAAGGTGCGATTCAGTTGTGTTGCCTGTGACTGCTCTCACCTGGTCAGCCTGACCCCAGGTCCTGTTTGAGCCTCCTCCCCCAGAGTTAGCTTGCGGGACTGTGACACCATCGCCAGAAGGACAGAGGCTCTCTTCTGGGTCCACTTTGGGACCAGTGATCTCCCTGGGTCACAGACACCAGCTACATCAGCAGCAGGCAGTCGGCTATGTGAGCAAGCTCAAAAGCAGTTCTTCCCCTGTCCAGACCTCACGCTTGCCACCTGCCCCTTCTCTTTGCTTTCAGAGAGCCTTTAGGTCCTCGCAAAGGCTGCTATTATGCTGATCTCACCCCCCAGAGCTGGTTAAGTGCCCCTTCCTGGGCACTCACCAGGCTGCTGGGTTTAGATCCATACTAGCTCTAGCTCGACAGGCTTCAGCTCAGGCTCTGAGGTGCAGGTGCTACCTAGTGCCACTGCCATGGATCAGGACCCACAAGTCCAACTGCCAGAGGCCCCTGGTACTAACACTTTCCCTTAAATCTCCCCTCTGGCTTCAGCACATCCCTCATAGAGCTCAATTTTGAGTTGGTCTCCATGGTGCCACCCTGCCCTGCCCCTGGTTTGAGAGAGACCCCTCCTAAAGCAGGCCTTGTCCTTTCATAACCAACCTGTTTGCCTGACTGGGAGGCCGACGCCAAGTTTGTTCGCAGCCCACGTAGGAGCAGCGTTTTCACTGGATCGTAACCAGCTTTACTTCCCAGGATGCTTCTGCTGGTCATTAAAGGGATGGGGGTTCATGAAGGTTTACTGACTGCCCCCCATTTGTCTTCTACTAGCTGCAAGGGTCTCTCTCGACACCTCTTGCACTTTTCAGCTCAACATGGAGACTTACCGAGGCACTGGCAAACTGCTCTGCACTCCTGCAGCAATGGCCTCCAGTGAAGAAAGTGGAGGGTGCCAATTCACAGGTGCCCGTCGTTGTCGTTGGCCATCCCTTGATTGGAGGACGGTCTCTACCATGGCTCGCTGATGGGTCTTGAGGCAACTTGAGTCCTATCCTTGAGCCACTGACCTGTCTGCAGAAGCTATAGGGCTTCCCACAGGGTAGGCCATAGGCCAGGATTTCTCTCCTTTTCCTTCCTCCACTCAACAGTCCCAGTGGCACAGGCCTTGCTTTTGTCCTGGGAACAGGGCAACCTTCATGTTGATGAAAGAAAACCAACAGATTCACATCACTCTGAGCTTGCATGGCCATGATGAATAGCAAACATTCCTTTAACCTAGAGCCTTAGGCTTGAACATTTAATGCTTGGTCAAAACTATTTTTTAAAGACATGGTCGTATTCACAATGAATTCTCCACAAACAATGGGGATAAAAGTACTTATCATCTAGCAAATCAGCATCTCTGTAGTGGCTTGTGTGGTGTCATCTAGAAGATAGCAACACGTATGCCACTAGCAAGATACTGTTGAAAATGAAATGATATGCATTTCTCTACAGAACGTGTGCACGTTGGATGCCGGAAATCTGCTGCATGGCACGTTCAACAGCAAAATGAATGGGTATATTGTATGTACTGCCAGCTTAAAACTACAAAGTACATGTGCAGGAGACCACCCTTACTAGACAAGCATGGGACTTGAAATCAGGGTCCCCAGGTTTGATAGGATTTGTAAAAAGTCTTTCATTGCATGAGCAGTGGTTTAGCAGTCCTTAAAGCTGGTGCGTAAGGAATGCTTCTGTAACTAATCCATATTTAAAGGCATGACATTGGCATTCCTCAGTGGAAGAAAAGTCAAGTCTCTAATGGTTGGGTTAAGTATTGCCTTTCTCCCTCTAAACAGCAGACCGTGTAAAGATAGTGGGTTGTATCTAGATGTCTTTTGTGTCAAAGAAATGAAGATGCAAGTCATTCACTGCATCCCAGGTGCCCATCGTGACTGTTGAGCCTGCTACTGTAATGTTTCATAAACTACTGAGCTAAGAATTAAATACCTTGTCTTTTTTTTAGGCTCTGTACAAACTTTATAGTGCAGCAGCAACGCACAGACATTTGTACCACCATGCATTCCCTGCACAGAAAGCAGAATCTGCTGAAGGCTCAGAAAAGAAGCAGATGTAAACCGGAGGCTCTCAGGCAGCTGCATGACAGGAACACCTCCACCTTCTCATCGGTTAAATACTCTCACTGTTGTACCTATGCTCAAGTGTCTGAAGCTCCTGAAATGGAAAAGGGAGAATGAAAAAACAAAATGTGCTTGTAAGCTGGTTTGATGTGTTTGCTTTTTAAGTTTGGCAACACTGTTTGATGGGAAGATATAGGCATGTTTTTCATTTTGTTAATATGTACATATTTATTTTGCTGCAAATATATACAGTGCTCTTATAATTTTTAATATCAAACATCATTTCCAGCTGATTTAGGAAATCTTGTTTTCCGCTTTAAATCAGTACATGTTATTCTACAGGCATTAATAAAATGATGTGGTAATAGGACTACAAGTTTTCCAGAAAACATCTTGGCGGTCTTCGGAAGGATGACCTCTTCTTGTGTTACTCTCAGAATTTGAGCGAGCATATCATGTAACCAAAGGTTTTTGATTAATTAACTTTTTCCTCATATCTGCCATGACTACATGATTGCATCAGTACAAGTGAACAAAAATGTGTTAACTTGCTTTGTCAGAAATTGTAAGGAGAGTTCTTCTTGTATGGTATGTTTAATGATATTGTAAGGAAAGCAAACTTTTTCTGTTCCTAACTTTCATGCACAAAAAGATCACTTTGTACATGTATTTGAGAAAGTTTCACTGTATTTCTGTATATACACACACATACAGCATAGAATGTGTTCAACAGTTCTATCTATTCTTTTATTGTCAAATGATTAAAGTTTGCTTTTGGTTCCTACGAAGTGGATCCTATTGTAAACATTTACGTATTCATTGATGGTGCCCTCATAGCTTTTAATGTCAGACTCCAAGGTAAGCTTGTACTTTATCGGATAACTAAGAGATGTTTAGTTGTAAGCAGCAGGCTCGTTTCATCAGTCTTAAAAGGGCCCTTTACTTACCACCACGATTTCCTTTAAAATCAGCTGCAGACTACCACTGAGAAATGCACGCAGTGGAATTTGCTTCTGTTGATCATTCAGCTGCACCAACAGCATCAAACATCTGGCCTGTTGGCCAGATGCAATCCAGCCAAGATTTTATTTTATCTGACTCTGTTTCACAGGCCAGATTCAGATTCTGCATTATGGAAACTTCAGTTTAAAAAGTAGCTTCTGGATCTTACGGTTAAAGAAAAGTTCCCATATACAAAGTGATGCAAAGCCAGCGAGATCTTTGCCAGGGTCTGCAAACAACCTGAAATGCCCTATGGGACACAACACACATCCATACAGCAAGACTCGTGGAGGTGTTTGGCTCAGGAAATGACATGCTTTAAAGGCAGATTTTAAACTTCACAGATGCGTGGCCACCCAAAGAGCACAAGGACTGTACGCTGCTTGTGCACACACAGAAGACAGCACTATTTCCCACTGAATACTGCCGAATGCCCCAGAAATTTTATTCTGCATTCAGCTTGTGTGTCAGCCTCCTGTTGCTATCAGTTGGCGATCTTCTGTGGATCAGGAACATTGGAGGGCCACCCATTTTATACACATGGCAGCGGAATTAAAATGCACTGTGGCCCTGCCCATGGATTGAGTTTAACATCGGTTATGCAGACCAAATCTTCCCAGGATCTTGTTATTGTTTACACCTTTTCACAGAATCATAGAAAGTGAAGGTTGGAAGGTACCTCAGGAGGTCACATCTAATCCAGTGGTTCTCAAAACTTTTTTGTACCGGACCCATTCATAAACATCAGTGGCCAGTCTGACCCACTGCCCCCTGCCCAGAGTCCCCCACCGTGGAGAAGGGAACCCCCACGCAGCCCCTTGCAGGCTGGAACTCTGCCAGCCCGCAAGGGAAAAGCCACAGATTCCCACGTTTATCTCTTCTAAAGGAAAATCCATTTTTAAAGTTTGTTCACAACCCTTTCATATATTTTTGCAATCCACTTTTGGGTTGCAACCCACGGGTTGAGAAATGCCGATTTAGTCCAAACCACTGCTCAAAGCAGGACCATCCCCAACTAGATCATCCCAGCCAAAGTTTTGTCTAGCTGGGTTTTGAAAACCTCCAAGGATGGAGCTTCCAACTACCTCTCTGGATAACCTGTTCCAGTGCTTTACCACCCTCCTAGTGAGAAAATTCTTCCTAATATCTAACCTAAACTTCCCTGGCTGTAACTTGTGCCCATTGCTCCTTGTTCCGTTACCTGCCCCCACTGAGAAATAGTCCAGCTCCATCTTCTTTGCAACCCCCTGCAGGGAGTTGAAGGTTGTGTTTAAATCCCCCCCTTGGTCTTCTCTTCTCCAGACTAAATCTGCCCAGTTGCCTTAGCCCCGTTTCATAAGTCATGTCCCCAAACCATTTTAAATGCCCTCTGCTGGACTCTCTCCAACGTGTCCACATCATTTCTATAGCGGGGGACCCAAAACTAAACACAATACTCCAAGATGTGGCCTCACCAGTGCTGAATGGAGGGGAATAATCACTTCCCTTGACCTACTAGCAACACTCCTACCAAAGCAGCCCAGAATGCTGTTAGCCTTCTTGGCACCATGGGCACACTGCTGGCTCATGTTCAGTTGATTGTCCACTATTGCCCCCTGGTCTTTGTCTGCAGAGCTGCTGCCCAGCCAGTTACCCCCAGGCTGCACTGCTGCATGGGGTTGTTCTGTCCTAAGTGCAGGACTCTGCATTTGTCCTTGCCGAACCTCATAAGATTCCTTTTGGCCCAGTCCTCCAATTTGTCTAAGTCACTCTAAGTCACCCTTATCAGAGCACTTTCATAGTTGTGCGGATTGGCTCTTACTACCTTTCAAAATATATCTGTGCTATGTCCACTGTCCCAGCCGCCTGCGGAGGGTTTAGATTGAGAGTGTGGTCAGGGGTAGAAAGGTAAGAAAGATTTATTGACTTAAAAAAACCCACAACTACACGTAGTAACAAAAAAACGATGACAGACAAAAGCAATTCGCATCAGCAACTTATTGGCAGTGCCTCTGATGCTCGATACACAGCAAGCTTCTCTTTCCACAAAGTTCAGTGGGGTCAGGCGTCCCCGAACAACGCTGTCTGAGGGGTGCCGGGAAGGACCCTGGAATACAATTCTTGGGCTCCTCCAAGTCCACGGGCCCGCTGATCCAGGCACCAGCTAACTAACCCTTTTCACAGAGCTGCATCTTCCTTCTGAATGGTTTCCAGATATTTCAGCTAATTTATAGCTTCTGAAAGACACTGATAATGTACAACCACTTAGATTCCATTTTTTTCAACTGTCCTTAGACTGACTAACAGCAGTACAAGCCTTGCATTTCTTTGATAAGGTAATTTTAACTGTGCCACAGGGCCTTACTACTTCTAGGCTTTGCTAAATTTATTAGGCTTTACTTTATACAAGGCCTCACTACATCTTAAACTATAATTAGGCTTTTAGCAACAACTTATAGCTTAATATTTAAACAAATACAGAAAAACACTTGGTCTAATCTTCATAGAGCCTTCAGCAAGCAC